CACATCAAGAGGTCCAGATCTATGGTGTATGATAGACTTTAAGTGAAATAATACGCTGGATCACATTTAAACTCAGCCAACTTGAGAGCACCTCCGATCATCTTCTCTAGTGAAATGTCATCAGAGTTTTGGCAAAAGAAAACGTTAGATCATAAAAACAACACCATTGTGATCGTCTCATCAGTGTGAATTCAACCATATGTTTCACTTTCATTTATTGAAAGTGGGCATGGAGAATTTTGTGAAACTTCGGTGAAAAGACAAAATATGAAAAACGAAATTAAATGCTAGATACGATCAACCAAAACAAGATAAGTTACAGGAAAGAATCAGAAAGTATCAAGCTACATTGTGGTAACTTGTTTCAGTTCAAGTGATGCTCAGAACTACCTTGTCTAAATGATGACCGGAGGTAGTGAATGATAGACTTGGCTAGCATGATTCAGAGGCTCTAAAGGCTTGGGAAATATTGCAATAGCTTTAGAGGACACTGACTATTCTAATGGAAACAAGAAATATAGTTGAAATAGCTTAGAATTTGAGAACGAACTTGGAGAATTTTAGTGAAAAGTGTGAGCTCGAGCAGAGTTTTAGGGACTTTCTAAGCTTGGAATTAAGTGCAATAGGATTCTCTATTTATAGTTGAGGTGAATGAAGCTCATATGTGTGAAAGTCTATTAGAACTCGTGTGAAATCATGAGCATGGAGTGCATGACCAAAATTGAATGGAAATTCACCAAAATATAGGTTATTCCAAGCTATTTTAGGTTGTTTTGCATCACTGCACTTCACTTAACATCACCATGCATCAATCACGTGCACAATTGGCTTCAAATAGGAGAACTTGTGATTTTGCTAAACTGATTTTAAGCAAAAATTCAGTTGTATTTGGCCATTTTCAAACCTTCATGAAATTTTGTACACTTGACCATTGCTTCTCATTCTTTTTGCTAAATGATCATATCATAACATAGAGTACAATGTGAAAATAAAAGTTCCATTTGGATGTTTTAGCAAAGAGTTATGAGCTGGTAAAGTTGGCACCATGACCTATAATTAGATATCAAAAATAATTCAAAGTCCAAAATAACCTATAATGTCTTCAAACATTTCATGACCTTCCAAGCATAATTGGCATTTTATCCTTAACAAACTTGTAGAGGGCATCAAATATGATAATTGTCCAAAAGAACCACCCACAAAAGTTGAAAATTGAGAGAGTTATGACCGTTGGAAGTTAGGAAAATAATACTTGAATTTAGGTCAAATTTCACTTAGTCCACAAAGTGACCCTCTTATGTTTCCAAACTTTTGATGATCTTCCAAATATAATTGGCTCTTGACTTGTAAAGAGGTCTTTTAAAGGATGTCAAGAAGAGTCATTTGCCTAAGGAAGCACTCAAAAATGTTGAAAAATTAGTGAGTTGTGATATTTTGAACTTGGACTTGAAATTTTGACTTTTTAGGTCAAAGTACCTCAAATGATCTTGCAACCTTTGAACTTTTCTTGCATTTCAAGGTACATTGATGATCATATGAACTCAAAATGATGTGCTCTTGAATGTCTTTTGATTAAAGTTACAATGGCTTGAAGAAACTTGCTGATGAAGACATGGAAATAAACACATGAACCTTTGAAGTTTTTTGAGAAATAAGCTATCAAACTTTCAAATATCTTTGATCAACTGAAATTGAATGATGTTTGAGACCCTATTCTTTGACATTAGAGTCATGCTTTGATGAATAGCGTTTGAAAAATCAATGGTTGACCACACTTTGACTTGAGGAACTCAAACCCTAGCTGAGGAAACAATCACTTGATGCTCTTGATTCCAAACCCTACCTTGCAAAAGAAACAAAAGGGAAAATACATATATTTTTGTATTTTGATTAATGGTTAGTGAATTATAAAGCATATAAATACAAAAAATGTAAAAAGATATACAAAGAGGTGTTGATGATCTCTGCAAAGGAAAACCCGGAGATGAGAGGTTTATAAGACAATCAAGTTTATGATCTTAATGCATTGCAAAGATGTAAATGAGGTGAGATCTTAGGGGTAAAAATTAGGGTATCAAACATACCTGACATCAGTGAATAACCTTATTGACTTATCATGGAGCTTAAATCTAACAAATCAAATTCCTGCAATCTTGTAGGCTTTATTGTTTCCCAATAGCACCGATTCACCATCTTGATCACATAATTCCTCACACATATCTTTGTTTGGATTCATGTGCCAAGTACAATCTAAATCCATAATCCACTCCTTGCTAGAGTTGCTGCTTGAAATCACCAGGACATTAGATGATCCGTAACCATCTTGAATAATGGTTGCATTACCATTATCCTTTCCACTATGATTATTCAGTCGATAAGGACACACCTTTCTTATATGACTCTCCTTCTTACAATATAACACCTAATTGCAAGAGTATTACCACCATAAGAAATCCGTAGAACCTTACCATTCTTATTCTCAAATCTACCATCTTTCTTTAAGAATTTTCCTTTGACGGACAATCCTTTACCAACAGAAGATGATTTATACTCCTTTCTTTCATTCAAGTCTTTAGAGTATAAGGCTGGTTGAACTTCTTCAAAGGTCAACGAATCTCTTCCATACAAGAGAGTTTCTTTGAAATGAGCATGAGACTTAGATAAAACACTTAACAGCAGCAATGCTTAATCTTCATCATCAATTATGAACTCGATATTTTCAAGATCAATAATCAACTTGTTAAACATATCCACTTGCTCTGCCAAGACTTTGTTTTCACTCATCTTGAACAAATACAATACTTGCTTTAGGTAGAGACGATTGACCAACGATTTCGTGATGTACAAACCTTAGAGTTTCATCCACACACCAACTGCATTTTTCTCCTTTGAAAATTTTGGAGAACCTTATCACCAAGGCTCAATAGGATGACACTGTGGATTTTTTTTATCATCGTCGTCTTCTCCTTCTCTGTTAGGAAACATCCATTTTCTCCGATCCTTTCCACACTTCTAACAAACCCTGCTAAATCAGTGGGGCTTGCACCTTCAAGTGTCACAAACCGAAATCATTCACACTGATGAATTTCTCAATTTCATACTTTGTTGATGACGTCTTCTTCTCCACACTCATCGCACCAGTTTGTTGTGAATCGATATCGTCAAGAACAAATCAAAATATGAGAAAGATTTAGTTTCTTAATCAAGCACAAGAAACCCTATTAGGTTTTACGAAAAGAGAGAGAAGAAGAATCAAAATTGGTTATAATTGTTTTACTATTCACTTTCTCTACTAGGGTTCAAAGATTACAAGTGAATATCAACAATCAAAACTCTCTCTCTCTCTTTCACACACACACACACACACACAACAACAACAACCTGAGAGAAACAATATATTTATAAACTATTAAGCTAACTTAAGCAACAAGCTAACATAAACAATTTGGCTAAACAAGCATGTCCAATTTGACATGCTAACAATCATAACACTTCGACTACTGCATACTTGAGCATACTTTGATTACAGCATGTGAGCAGACTTTGAATACATGTTAAACCTATGTCGAACCATGAAAATATCACTGTCGAGACTAGAATTCGATCCAAATATCACAATTTCAAATATATTTTATAATTTCTTAAGTTTCATGAATTTATTGTTGTGATACAAGTGAGTTAAAAATCTGACATTCTTTGAAAATAAATATTAAACACTTTATAAATAACATGACTTATTTGATGTGTGTATGTGTGATTTCTCGCTAATTGTTGATATTGGCGCAATGTAAATGCCCCTGATGATTCAACAATTATGTAGTAGTTTTGTAGTGTTTTTAGTAAGCAGTTGGATTAATAAATTACGAGGAATATTCAACCCAAAAATACAAAAATCAATTCAAAATTGAATACAACAAATGAATTTTTCTTGAATCGTAAAAATTTGAACACCCTCTAACTTTTAAGCCTAAAAAGTGCTCCGTCCACGCGTAAATGATACTTTTAAATTTGATCTTCTTAAGTTAATTTATTAAATTAAGTATTTGAGATTAATAATGAAAAAATAAATAAAACTATGTCAGGTCTAATTCTGTATTTTTCGGTTTAACTTTTAGTTAAAAAAAATAGGTTATACATAAATATTTATATCATAAACATATATGCTGCAAGTATTTAATTAAATTGTTCATCAAAATAGACACAATACTTAACTATTTATTTTGTTTTATTACTTTTTTTGCTAAAACATCTCATAACCTATAGTATTTGTCTATGATCTGAAAGTTATAAACAAATGGCTCCACAGTATACAGAAAGTAAAAAATAACAATAAATAAACAAAAGAAAAGTCCATAATAACTCCAAAATTCAGAAGATTCTTCAAATATAAGTAGTACATGAAGTTAACTAAACCAAGAAAAATGCATGGCATGTCTTGTCAAAAACTTTTCTCATCAGCCATTAATCATTTCTCAATAACAATGAGAGAGAAAATTAACTGTCTCAACAGAATAACTGTAATAATATTAATAATAATAATAATAAAATTTACATATGATATGAGAGATATGATATCTCTATGATTCATTCATTCATTCATAAAGAGTACATTTTTCTTGAAATTTGTGCATGAGAATAAGACTTTAAGAGTCAAATATTATTATTAGAACAAAGGATCTAGAAAAAGATATGGTCTTATTTTGTCGGCATTTTTCTGTCCTTTTAGCTTCCTCATCCATTAATTTTGCTACACTTTATTCATCATGTTCATATATCTCACTTTAATTTGGTGGACTAGGAACAACAGAATCACTTCATAACAACCTTCTTTTCATTGATTCTGCTACTTGTTTGGAAAAGATTTAACCTTACAAAAGATTACAATACAAGTGTCATGTAACAGCATTATAAGATAAATATATAGTTTTATTACAAGGTTTGTGATTTCAGAGCTTACAAACATTTTTGTAGCATTGTGGGACAGATTTGGGAAATTGATACTAATTTAAGGAACATGTATTATTGCTGAATCCATATGGATTAAGAAGCTTTTGTCGTTGCTCTTCTAACTCCCAATATGGCCCATCACTGTGCTGAAAATGATATATGATTTTCATTAGAATAAATAATTATAAAAGTAGACCGACTAATGCAAGAGAATAAATTTCACTGTCAGAGCAAATTTCTGTATGGACAGGCCTAACACAAAGATTGTTAGACCTAGTAGGATTCGAACATAAGATATTGAGAGAAACGCACTCTCAAGACCTAAAGTTACCAACAGGTGGAGATGATTTCGACTAGCATGAGTCTATTACTAATAGTATATTTAAAGACAGTAAAGTTCTGTATGAACCGGTCCAACACAAGTATTGTTAATATCTAGCAGAATTCGAACATGAGATATTGAGAGGATCATGCTCTCAAAACTCAAGTCGACTTCACCAACAGGCCAACCCTACAGGTATGGGTGCATCAGACGATTTCGACTAGCTTGAGTCGGTAAATAATCTTATGATTTTATGAAGTACCTCAAAGAAGGTATTTGACCTCTGTCCTTGATGAAAAACTGGAGATGAATAATCCAAAAGATATTCATTATTAGCTGCAGCATGGTGGAAGCTTGTGAGGGTTGTGTCAGCAAAAGGTGTGGCATGGTTGGAGCTGCATAATGGTACAGATTGTAGTGGTGTTGATGATGGTGATGGTGATGTTATGCTACTTAATCTCTGAAAAAATTATTAGTTACATTTGTTTTAGTCAACTAATTAATTAATTAGTTAATATATCTTTAAGTACATGAAAAAATTTCTGAGTTCTTCTGTTTCCTCACCTCATGATCTGGTCTAACCATGTCTAAGTCCATTGCAAAGTCAAAGAAGATTGGATTCACTGAAGCAATTTTCATTGACAAGAACTGCAGAAGAATTATAGATAAAGAGTATAATTAAAATTATGCATGTTGGTTTAGGAATCAATGATCAAAAAGTATAAGTTTTATGATTTTTGATAGCATTATACCTCTACTTGATTCTGTAAGGACTGTACATAATTGATTATTTCATCCAACACAAGAGCTTTTCCGGTTACCTATTTAATATATGAAACAAATGCAACCGAAACTTCAGATTGAAAGTATATCTGATATCAATCAAGCGATAATATTTCTAGTTTTTAAAGTAATATTATCGAGTCTGGTGTTTGTCTGATGTCAGGTGTCTGTGTAGATGTTTAATATATAGAAACATGTAATTATCTCAAGTTGTCAACATTAAAAGTACACCATAAAGATTAAAGAAATGATTACTCACTTTATCACAGCCAGGCACAAGTTGCTGCAATATCTTCATCCTTTCACTTATTTTCTCTCTTCTCACCTGAAATTAATTCACAATGAGACATGAAATTTTGAGAGTGTTTAAGAAGTAATACGTAGCCCCGACACGACCCTTCTCTTAGACACGTCTCTCACACCGACACATGTATTTTCTTAAATTATTACTATTGTCGTGTCTGTTGTCTGTATCTGTACCAATATGAGTATCAGATTGCATACCCTTTCAGCAAGGCTGTGGCTATCTGTTGCCTGACCCCTTCTTGCTCTGACATGGATATAGCCAGTTGGAGCCTCTTCAGAAAACTTCTTCTCTTCTCCTTTCTTCCCTTCACCACTAGTCTTCTTTTGTTTTTTGCTTCTTCCTTCTTTTGACTCCTACAATAACATGAAACAGTTCTACTATATTCACATACAATACATAGCAACATACCGAAAAAAAAGGTGAAAAAACAAACTCTACCTTAGATAAGGGGCTACTTGAAGAAGACTTGTTTGTTCTAACCCTTCTCTTCTTCTCCATAGAACTCACTTTCTGAGTAACTTGCTCACCCTTTTCAAGATTATCAACCACCATAGAGGATTCAGGACTTAAACTATTCTTAGAGGATTGATCATCAACACAACTAGTTTCTTGATTACTAAGAGAGTTATCTTGATGAACATGAAGAGTGTGAGCAGCAAGGGAATTGTTTATATTAGTGAAGTAAGATGAAGAGTCAACAAGAAAAGGTAGTTGATATGAAAAAGCTGCCATGATAATATGAGTTATCAAGATTTCAGAGGTCTTGAAAATGATAGAAGAAAGGTGAAGGCAAAGACTGGTTATGTGTGTGTTTGTGGTGTTGGTGATGATGACTCAGGAAAAGTTGTGTCTGTGACAAAAACACAGAGAAACAGACCTATATATAAACATATTGTGGCATATAACTTAACTCAGTTCCATGCAGCGACCAGTACATGTACATTTGACCAGTCTAATCTCATCAACCTCTATGTTTTTTCTCTAACATGACATAATTGTCAATAATAAATGAGACTCACTGGTCATAAATTCAAATAATGTTAAGTTTATTTTTTGTTTGGTAAATAAAGGGATTTCTTTTTTATTTTTAATCTAACAGCATTATGATATACCACTTTATGGTATAGATAGAGATGGCCATGTTCTTTAATTGAGTCTTAAAAATTTAGTAGTGCTAATTTTTTTTTAAATGGAATTTTATTGTTGATTGTGATTTTCTTTGACTTAAGATGTTAAAGAATTTTCCATTGGATAATACGGTTGGAAAAGAAAAAGATTATATTGGAGAGACTATTTCATATAATGATAATTTATAATATTTGAGATGATATTTTGCAAGTTTGTTTCCTTCGATATTACGAAAAACACATATGATAATGGTTGCGAAATACATATAATGACAGTTGTATGTTCGTTGTTAGGTAGCGTGTGATTTGTATGTATGGTGTTTTCCATTACAGGCGTGTGACTGTGATGATAAATTAGGTAGTGCGCTATGTATCACAACAACTATTTTAAACAACCATTGTTATACATATTTAGGTCATTGGTTTGAAACTCAGCTGCTGCAATTTAAATTGAATAAAATTAACATTTCACCACAGTTATGAAAGATATCGTTGTGGTATGTATACATGAGTCTATTATAAAATATGTGGGTTGTTTGTTTTTCTCTACGCCTCACTAACAAATGCAACTATTCAACTTGATGTAGAAGATAATAATTTGATAAGTTAAATTATTCTTGAAAAATATCTTAAACGAACCATAGTTTTTCGAATTCCATTCATTTCGTGACTCATCTCTCACAATTTAACATATAGAATTTGGTTTAATGACCAAAGTTTACTACTACAAAATAGACCTTTCGTCACACTAAACTACAACGGTTTGTTTGTTAACCGTGGTAATACCTCAATTGTAAACGCGTTTTTTTATTTATATTTACGAAAATGCATTGCACTATGGTCAAACTAATAAACTGTGATTATATGTTTATGGAGTGACAGGACTTGAATCACAGCTCCAACAATATTTTACTTTTTCGTTACAATTGATGTTGTCCTTAAAACTATAATATATAAATTAAATTTGAAATACCTATCACCACAGTTGTTAGTGAGAACCGTTGTGAAAGTCATTACATTTCATCACGATCTTTTTAAACAACCGTGGTGAAATTGTTTACTTATTTATAATAAAGTGAATTAACTCTCGCTTCTTGACAGTATCGTCGTATCTTAACCTTTAAGAAACATTTATCAACAATAATAACATACATCAACATTTATCAACAAAACCACAACAACATGCAACATCATATCAACTCATAAACTGTTTCACGAACATACATTTTATTGAAAAAAATTGTGGAAAATGAAGACGTTATTCTTGTATTATTTCTCCATAGCAACACAAATCATTTGTGAACCACACCCATACTTTGTGACTTATCAATATTTTATTCTTGTTCTGAGAAACAGTTAACAACAACAATAACATATAGAACATTTATAAACATTTTTCAACAAAACCACAACAACATATCAACTCATAAAATGTTTCATGAACGTATACTACTATTGAAAAGTCACCACAACGGTTAGGAAAGCGATACCACAACGCCTGACCAACCGTTGTGAGGTAAGGGGTGCTTGTATGTCTGGTGCTTTCCACCACAATCGCAAGACCGTGATAATAAGGCAGGACACACGCTACCTACCACAATGGTTACTTATATCAACCATTGTGATATATACATTTAGGTACTCGATTCGAAACCCACATGCAAAATTTTATTTAGAACGTAAATAACATTCTATCACGGTTAAAATATAAAATCGTTGTTGAAAGTATGCATAGTTTATTATATAATATGTAGATTGCTTGTTTTTCTATACACCTCACTAAATAAATACAACCATTCAAATTGATGAAGAAGTATATAATCTGAAAATTAAACTATTATTGAAAACCAACTTAAACAAACCACAGTTTTCCAAATTGCATGCGTCTCATCATTCATTTCCCACTCTTTAACATATAGAATGTGATTCAATGGACTAAGTCCTCCATGACATCGATTCCTTCTATTTTAGTTTAATTTGAATAACATCAATTTATTGGCCAGTAAATTGTTTTTATTTAAATTAAACTATAAGAGAAGATATAGATGTAATGAAGGAATCAGGTCATTGATCCATATTCTAAATGTTAAACTCTGTGAGATGAATGGTGAGACGGATGCAATTCGGAGAACATTTATTGATATAATTTGGTTTTTAAATACAACTTAATTTTCAGATTATAAGTTTCTATGTCAATTTAAATAAAAAGTTGTGCTTGAGGAATCCCCTTCCAAGAGACTTGTGACTAGGAAAGGAAAAGCTGTGCTTGAGGAATCCCCTTCCAAGAGCCAAAAGAAGAGAACTCATGTTGGCCCTCCCAAGACATGGAACAAGGTCTCTATTGCCTCCAAGAAAAGAAAGGTAATTGTTGAGAACTATGAATCTGATGAAGATGTTGTAAAAGATGTTCCTGACATAACCCATGTGAAGAAATCCTCTACCAAGAAAACTCCTAGACCAGTGCCTGCTACTCCTCTGGACAATATTTCTTTTCACTCCATGAGCAGTGTGACCAAGTGGAGATATGTCTACCAAAGAAGGATTGCTCTAGAAAGAGAATTGGGAAAAGATGCTTTGGAAATCAGGGAAGTGATGGATTTGATCACTGAGGCTGGACTGCTCAAAACTGTCACTGGCTTCTCCAAATGCTATAAAGGGCATGTTAAAGAATTCATTGTGAACATTCCTGACTTCATAACTGACAGGAATAACAAAGAGTATATGAAAGTGTTTGTTAGAGGGAAGTGTGTGAAGTTCTCTTCAGCTGTTATCAACAGATTTTTAGGACGATCAAATAATGGTGAGGAAGAAATGTCTGCTTCAGACAACCAAGTGTGCAAGGTCATTACTGCAAATCAAGTCAAAGCATGGCCTTCAAAAGGTAAGTTGTCAGCTAGACAACTCAGTGTGAAACATGCCATCCTTCACAGGATTGGAGCTGCAAATTGGGTTCCTACCAATCACACTTCCACCATTGTTGTTGGGCTTGGTAGGTTCATTTATGTTGTACTAAGGTTGATTTTGATTATGAGTTGTACATTTTTGATCAAATTGTTAAGCATTCTACTTCAAGTGCCATCAAGTTACCTATTGCCTTTCCCTCCCTCATCTGTGAGATTATTTTGAATCAACACCCTGGGATTCTGAACTCCAATGATGTTGCTAGCAAGAGAGAATCTGTGATATCCCTCCACTACAAACTCTTCGCTGGAAGACATGTTCCAGATATTGTTCTGACATCTGCTAAGAAAGCCACTACATCAAAAGCAAGAATCATTGATGAGCTAAAAGGGACTTGTAGGGAATTAGGGGAAACTATTAATACTTCCACGGCAAGAAAGATCAAGTTGGAATCATTAATTCAATGCCTTGAATATGATGTTACAAATATTGATGATGTTAGTGAGGCTGGGTCTGGGGATGAGTCTGAAGATGGAAATGAAGAAGATGGTAATGAAGATGTCTCAACTGATGTTGAAGAAGTTGGCTCCAGTTCTGCTTCTGAGAATGAGGATTAAGTTGTCTGCTTTGGTGGTTTCCTTTTTGTTTTGGCTATTTGAATTTGTTTTTTTTTGTTTTTTTTTGTGGCTGGGCTGTTGGTAATGTTGTCTACCTTGGCAGATTAGATTGGTTTTGTTGCTCTGCATGAGCCTCTTGGGTTGTAATATTTTTGGGGCCTCGATACCCTTAACATGTTTGTTTCTAATTGTTCTGATTAATGCTATCTTTAGTTTATGATCTAAAATTTGTGGCTAAAAGGGGGAGAAGATTGGCTGGTTGTATTCTATATACAACTTAGTATATCCCTAACAGGTGTAGCTGATTAAAAGTTGGAAGATTGGTTAGGCTATATGTATACCTTGTTGTATACCTTGTTGTATACTTTGTTTTGGCTGGTTGTGCTAGTATGTTTAGCATGTATGAAGATGGTGGTTGTTGCTCTGGTTTGGTTGACAGGTTGTTGATCCTGTTAAGATGTGTGTTTGTTCCTCTTGGGTCTATTGTGTTCTACAGATCAGGTTGTTGATTGTTGTAGTAGCTTAGTTGATTGTATGCCTGTGTGTTTGGGATTGTGCTTTGCAGGCTGCTAAAGACTGATGAGTTTGTGGGCTGTTGTTTTATTTTTTTCATCTGTTGAGTGGGAGTTTTGTATTTACTCTCCTTGATTTGTAGTTTTTCTGTTGTGCTGTACTCTTTCCCGATGTTTTTTCTTGTGATTTGTTTTAGCCAAAATTTGCCAAAGGGGGAGTTTGTTAGTTCTTGATTGGCAGAAATTTTGGTAAAACTAGAAGTAATCACAAGATGTCCTACAGGATGTCGTGACATATGTCTGTCAGGAACAACAGATTGCTTTATGTTTGGTATCAGGTATCTTCTCTATGATGTCAAACAAGATGTCTTGACAATTATGGACTAAGCATTCAGTATGAATGGTTTTATGTGCCCATATCTTTTTGTGCAAGTTGGCTGCATTTTTTCGGTACATAATCTACAAGCTTCTTGTGACCTATTGTAGGCGTTTATGTTCAGTTATTATGGATTAAATTGTATTTGATTTGAATATTTTTTCAGAAGATTGTTTAAAGATTGGGAGATTGATTTGAT